GATTGTTTTTGTTCTTTGTGCCTTGAGATGATTTATTCCTGCTTTATAGAAAACAGCAATAACTCATGGTCATAGAGAGTAGAAGGATGGTTATCAGAGGTTGGGAAGGGTGGTGCAGGGAGGTGGGGATGTTTAACGGGTGCAAAAAAAATAGAAAGAATGAATAAAGCCTACTATTTGATAGCACAACAGGATGATGACTATGGTCAATGATAACTTAATTGTATATTTTAAAATAACTTAAAGAATGTAACTGGATTGTTCGTAACTCAAAGAATAAATGCTTGAGGAGATGGATACCCCATTCTCCATGATGTGTTTATTTCACATTGAATGCCTGTATCAAAGCATCTCATGTGCTCTATAAATACCTACACCTACTGTGTACCCAAAAAATGAAAAATAAAAAACAAAAACAAACAAACAACAACAACAAAAAAAAACTACAACAGAAGCCAGAATCAGTATTCTGTTTGTCATTGTTAGCTTTGCAAACAGAATGGGTATGATGGTGGTGAGATTTTAAACAGAGGAAAGGAAAAGGAATGCACTGCTGAAAACAGACTAAGACGAAGCTTAGGGGAAAAAAGTTACACATTCCATGTAGCAGACAACAAAGCCAACAATTTCCTTTGGCAATAAAAAGGCTGCTGTTAGGTAATAAACGTATCTTCCCTACAGTGTGGCAATGCAGTTTTTAAATCCTAAATTAGAACCCTTTAAAATAAGCCTAGCATGCCCCTCTAGCATATTTTGTCCATGTTCCACTAATGTATTCTTAGAATTCCTAGAGATGAGAATGATGTAACTGCCCTTGAAATCTGCCCTGATCTCCAACATCTGCATTGTGGTAATTACCAAGCTATTGTTCAGATACAAGTTAATCACAGAGGTAAGCCTGGAAGAAAGTAATCCTTGCAAGCAGGATAGAGGATTATAAACAAATTTGTGTTGAATGAATAAACAAATGAAACAATAAATAGATCACAAACTAAGTATCACAAACTCTTGGTTATCAGAGGTTTCTAGGTAGCTTAAAAAATAGTGCATATAAAAAAAATCAACCCATTTACATGTTAAAAAGCATCTATTATTTGGAATCAGGCTTTAGGCAAAAATAGATTCTAAAATGTGGCTACTGTAATGTAGTAATACTTGTTTTCCTCCTCACCCACACTTTGCCAATAGTCTCTCATTAAAGCAAAAGATTTCTTTGTCCCAAGGACCTAGTCCAGTGACATGTACTTGGTAGGTACTTTGTAAACCTTTACAAAACCAAACTAACATGATTAATGAAAATGTCTAAGAGAGAAAGCTATAGGCGGTTCCGTCAAAAACAGAGATCCATATAATATATATACCCTAGTTAAAAATAGAGCAATCAGTGATATAAAGGTTAGTCCTTTCTGGGCCACTGAAGAGTGATTCAGTGTATAAATACGGTTCAGGTTTGGGTTTATTTAACAAAAGTTTTAAACACAGGAATCTCCGGTTGAAGTACGGAATCATCAAAGTGATGAATATAATTTAAAGTTAAATTTAAATAAATTCAGGCCTAGGAAGCCAGCCTCCAAACCTATTCTCCGTTTTTAATTTCAAACTTAAGTAAAGTCTTATTTGTAATTTTTTTTAAATAAAGGCAAATTCACAATTACAAGGGACAGTGCTTCTTGTTACATATTCAGCAGATACCAAATCATTACGGTCTATGTATAGTACGAGAGAAGTCTTTAAAGTTAGAAATGTTTTTCTTAGGAACTCTATTATAACTTAAGCTATAACTTTCATGAAGACACTCTAAAAACAAAGAGAAATCCTTACCTCTTGCAATTAAATTTCAATAAAAATTTCAATTATATAGAGCGCTGGATTTTTCCTGTAACCCTCATATTAAATTTTGTGCTCAGTATTAAAGGACTTAAAGTCAATTTCTTTACCAGTGCATTATAGGAAACACAAATTAAGATGAAAAAATGAACTGGGAATATGTATGCAAATATTGTGTATTCATATTCTTATACAGCATAATCTGTAAATCTAGTACAATGAGACTCAAGATTTAAATGGCTGAAGAATGTTTTTAGTGAATTATTGTCAATCAATGCCTCTGTTCCAGGATAAATGTAATCTTGAAAGGTAAAATACCTATTATTACAAATTTCTAACTAAGTACAGTACTTCATTATTTCAAAATGTCACTGTCAATTTATAGAGTAACAGATAAACATCTTTCTACCATATATCTGAATGCCTTTCCTTCAGAGTAAATGAAACACCGATTATTAAGAAAAAGTATAAACAATATTTTTATAGCAATAGAAGATACCTAGTGAGCCTTAAAAATCTATAAACTAGTTACAGTGTTCTAAATTTTCATATTTGTTAATGTGGATATATTGGGTTTCATTTTTAAAAAATATTTAAAAATTTATCTTTTTGGTTTGTTTGTTTTTAAGAGACAGGGTCTCTGTCACCCAGACTGGATTATAGTGGTGTAAGCATAGCTCACTGCAGCCTTCAACTCATGGGCTCAAGTGATTCTCCCACCTGAGCCTCCTGAGTAGCCAGGACTACAGGCATGTACCACCATGCCCAGCTATTGTTTTTACGATTTTTTTGTAGAGATGGGGCCTTGCTATGTTGCTCAGGATGATCTCAAACTCCTGGCCTTAAGCCATCCTCCTGTCTTGGCCTCCCAAACTTCTGGGATTACAGGTGTGAGTCACTGTGCCAGGCTACACTTGCTATAGGGTCCCACATTGTTGCCTAGGCTGGGATACAATGGCATGAACATGGTTCACTGTAGCCTCAACTTTCCAAGTAGCTGGGACTACAGGCATGCAACACCACCCCTGGCTAATTTTTGTATTTTTTGTAGAGATGGGGTTTCACCATGTTGCCCAGGCTGGTCTCTTAACTCCTCAGCTCAAGTGATCGACCCACCTTGGCCTCCCAAAGTGTTGAGATTACCAGTGTGAGCCAACCCCCAGCCCTGGCCAGGTTTTATATCATTGTAATCAAATATTGTTTTTTTCTTCCAAGTTACTTTATTTTATGTAAATTCAGATGTTCATTTATTCAATCACTTAACAAACATTTACTGAGTGCTGACTTTGTCCTAGGTACACTGTTAGGGGACAGACTTACAAGCATGAATATGATATGACTCTTGCTCTTAACAAACTCACAGTTTAATGTAATACAGGGATAAATGAGTAAAATACAATAGTTCAGGGTTATATTAAAACTGTCTATATGTTTCACATTTGCAATAACTAAAGGATAGTCTATTAAAACTATCCTTAGAAACTTTTCATCATTGTTCAGAAATAAAACTCTCCCTTACTTGTTCTAGGGAAATCTTTTAAAAAGAAATTTAAAACAGATATATTAAAAATGATAATCTTACAAATATCTGTGAACATAACATCTCAGATTAACAAATGCTAATACTTGTTTCATATTTTATTTTAAGGCTGTTCTCTAAATCCAGAAATTTCTTGAATGAACCAAGCAATAATGACTTCTTGAGATAATTACTTATAGCTCCTACCAGCTATATGGCCTTGGGCAAATTTACTTAACTTTGACTCTCAGTGTTCTCATCTGAAAAGTACAGATAGTCATACCAATCTGTGCTAGATTATCTGCCATTTACCCCCTCAGGATCCATGTTCTCTACACAGCTTTTTGCCCATGGAGGTTCTCCTACCTTCCAGCTTCTGATTATGCTAAATTAATAGGAGATACTAGCAAAAGATCAGAGAAGGAAGGTGAAGCTATTCCCTAGTTTCCTCCCTACTGGGCCACCAAGGTTGGCTATATCCCTCTGTCAGAAGCAGTCCTCTCCATATAGCACTCTCTCCTAGGCTTTCAGGCCTAGAGATGATAATGGTTCCCTTTAGCCTTGGGTCTGTATTATCTTCTGTTGATTATTTTTTTGAGACAGATTCTCGCTCTGTTGCCCAGGCTGGACTGCAGTGGCATGATCTTGGCTCACTGCAACCTCCACCTCCCAGGTTCAAGAGATTATCCTGCCTCAGCCTCCCAAGTAGCTGGGATTACAGGCACACACCACCATGCCCAGCTAATTTTTGTATTTTTAGTAGAGACTGGGTTTCACCATGTTGGCCAAGCTAGTCTTGAACTCTTGAATTCAGTGATCAATCTACCTCAGCCTCCCAAAGTGCTCGGATTACAGGTGTGAGACCCCATGCCCAGCTTCTTCTGTTGATTTTTGAAAACCCTGCCCACATCTTTAAAAATGGTCACTTTATTAAACTCTTCTTAAATAACCTAGCTTAAAAGTGTCTATTTACTGCCAGAACACTGACTGATCACAACTTCATGGGTTATTCTGAGGATCATACGAGATGATTAGTGCTTAGCACAGTGCCTAGCACATGATAAATACTAGGTAAGTATTGAACACTATTGTCATCAATAATGCTTTTATTATTGTTTTATTTGAGGTTCTATGTTCATGTTATCTGTAACACCTGACTATGTTTAGGAGGTTGAGAAAACACCTAAATATGTTTAGGAAGTTGATAAATTCAGAATGCTAGAGATCTTTTGCTAATTCTCAAGGTACTTCAAACATATATTCAAATATAAAATGTGTTTATTGCTAATTAATCTCAATATTTAAAAAGAGTAAGAGGACCATAAAAGTGAGTGACAAAATCCATATAGTAGACATCATTTCCTGGACTATAGTTTCTTCTATAAAAATGCTTCTGAACTAATTTCTTGGAAATCGACTTCCTGTAACCACCCCAAATCTAGCAAAGTGTAAATAGTCCATAAACTAAAACAAATCATTGGGTCTTGGGGTCATAAAAAGAATGGACTGAAAGGTAAACTTCATAGCATAAAAACCCTTGGTAAATTTGGAAATGCACCTTCATCATCTTTATTTATCGATCATATCACAGGCATGTACCATCATTTGACAAATTACCTCATCAAAATCCTATTAAAGATCTGCTTAACCTTACCTCGTCCTTTATATCTTCCTGTTGTTGGGCTGTGAAGATCTCCATTGCAGCCATGAGTCTCATCATTAACTCATCTACTGTTGTGTTCCCTAAAAACATATAGAGATTGCCAAACTTTATATAAGCTTTTTATATATAACTTCAAATTATTAAAGTATTAGAAACTGGAAAGTCATTCTAGAATTAACCAGAAAGGAAAACCAGTCTAAAAAAATTACAGTTAAAATACTTTTGTGGTTTTATTGAAATGTTTCATATGTTCAATAAGAAAGAGTAGTATACTGGCAGTTGAAATTTCAGAACAGTTATATTTGAGGGAGCAGTTTCTTAATAAGAAGGACTTTTAGCACTATATAGATGAATGTCCAAATCATGAAGTTCAAAAGTTCTGTCAAATTATGAAAACATATCTAGTTAATAACACTAGCAACAACTACCAGTTGTTTACATATCACTGATTAGGCTAAGCACTTCTATATTGTCTCATTTAATCTGTACAACAATTCTACGAAGGATTATGACTTAGTTTTAAAGAGAAGAAAAATGAGTCGCAGAGAGCTCAAAAAAACTTGTCTGACTAAGGTCAAGCTGGTTAAGTGGTGAGGTCAGAATCTGAAACCAGAAGAGGCTGACTCGAAGCCTGGCCTCTTTGCCACCCACCTCAGTCTATTACCTTATTTAGAATTATCTTCTATCACCAAAAATCCTCTGGTGAAACAAACAGTAACTCAATTTCTGAAAAAAATGATTTCTTTTTTTGCCCAATTGATATTTCTCCCTTTCAGCTGCTTTTAAATGACTCTTATGATCTTTATAAAGAAGATATTTTAAATGTTTGATTTTCCTTAATGTCATTTTATTCCCTGACCAAGTCCATAACAAACATATGGCACATACATGCCATTTCCTGAACACATTTAAGTCATTGTTATTTGCTTGGGATGTACCTACAAGAGAAAAAGTCATGAGGATATATAAAGATATGACAATTCTCTTCTCTCAAACCTACAGGCAGAAAGAGTTAGGTTTTCTCCATGGCTTGAGAAGGGATCTTCTTCCCCATTAACGAAATGGCCACCAACAGGACAATAAAGACCAAGCATTCTTGCTGGCATTTTTCCAGAAGGCATGATCTTTCAATGGTGCTTTCCCTAATTATCCTTATGACCATTGGCAGCATGGGTTAAGGGAACATCTATGGTCCTTGGCAAAAGAAATGATCTAATTTGTTCACATCAGTACTACTCACTCAGTAAATGAGCTACAGGACAAACGTTATCTTGGCACTAAGAAAACAGAACTGGTTTTATAGTTAGAGTTCTAACTCTAATTCCATTACTTATAAGCTATATAATCTAGTACCTGGAAATTGTCTGGCACATGACAAAGGCTTTGACGAATATTTATTCAGTAAACAAATAAATGAACAAGTGAATAAATGGACTGTAGCTCTCTAAGGATCAATTTCCTTTTCTCAAAACGGAGATAACACTATGTAATGTTCTTAGAAGGAGTGGAGATAATGTAAAGTATACACAAATCGTTGGTAGTTAATATTAATAGATATGACACATGACAAAAGAAGTTTAGGAGCACCTTCAATATAGATATTTTATTCTTTTGAGACAGGGTCTCCTTTGTTGCCCAGGTCTCAAGTGATCCTCCCACCTCAGCCTCCCAAGTAGCTGGGATTATAGGTGTGTGCCACCACACCTAGCCAATGTAGATTTTATTATTGGACAAGTCTCTGGGTTTCTATGTTTTATTTAAAAACTGTAGTGGCTAAGACTCAGAGCATGGGAAATGGGTACTATATGGAGTATACTGGAATCATCAGTGGGAAAATACTACAGTTGTATAGGTTGACTACATACTGGCCATTAATTTTTAGGCTTAAGTCACTACTTATAAGCTATGTTTTAGCCCTAACTGGAAGGATCCACGGCCAAACTGAACTCGTAGGTACTTCATACTTAAGCCCTTATTGATCAAAGACAGAGAAAAAGTGTACTAGTTAATGCAGTTCAGGGCAAACTTACTCTTTATAGTTGATTGCAGCAGTTCTCAAACTTTTTGGTCTCAGGACCCCTTTACACTGTTAAAAATTACTGAGATACCCAAAGAACTTTTGTTTATATGGATTATGGCTATTAACATTTACTGTGTTAGAAATTAAAATAGAAATATTTAAAATAAATTCATAAATCCATTTAAAACTAACAATAATAAACCCATTGCATGTTAATATAAACATTACATTTTTATGAAACATGACTATTTTCCAACAGAAAAAGGTTAGTGAGAAGAGCAGCACTGTAACATTTTTGCAAATCTCTGTAATGTGTGTGCTTAATAGAAAACAACCGTATTCTGTATTCTTGGACATCTACACTAACCAGTTACAATATCTTGTACTGATTGAAATTTACAAAGAGAATCGGGTCGCACAAAGATATGTAGTTGGAAAAGGGAGAAGTATTTTCATAGATAAGTGTGGATATTCTTTGATACTACACTTAAACTGACAAGTGTAAGTTTTCTTCAAATTAGATGCACATGGAATTTGAAACCATATCAATGAAATCTGTGTACTCCGTTACATTAAAATCCATTGCCCTTTGAAAGGATCTTTTATCTGTGTATGATTTTATAATATGCACTGATCATTTGTAAAACATTGGTTCACTGAGTTATGTATTTCTCTGCTGAATGCTGACACACTTCATTATAGAATATTAAAAAAAAAATCACAAAAAACGTCTGGCAACTACCCAGGCTACATATGCATAGTTTGCCTGTCAGTAATATTTTCAAGTAAAAATAATTTCTATAAGAAATAAATCAAGTAGTTCAGTGTAAGCAACCACACCAGTGCTTTTCTTCGAGACCACCAGTATACTTTAGTATGCAGCAGAAGTGCTTTACCCATACCTCCCACAGTGCCACACAAACTATTAAAAGGGTTAAAATTTAATAAAAGTAATAATTTTTACTGCTTCATCAAGGACATTTTTAAGGCTTTTTCTTTTTTTTTTTTTAACTAAATACATGGCAATTAAGAATATGACTACTAGTACAGTTTTGTGTTACGGCTTTGATTCGTGCTAAGGTGCCAAGAGTTTTCATAAACCATTCCTTTGGAGCCACTAGTGCAAATGTCAACACAGTAAAAAAGGCAAAAAGGAAAAAAAAAAAAAAAAAAAAAGTCTTATTACAGTTAGGAAAATAATTTTGACCTTACAGATACCCTAAAAGGGTCTAGTCTGAAGTCTACAAACCACACCCTGAGAACCACTAGTTCTTGCAATGTTGCCTCTGACAGGGAAAGCAGGAATGAAGTGTTATCTTCATTATCCATTTACCCTATGCAAATCAGTTCCCCTGGAGGTCTTTTTAAACACTATTTATGAAATTGAATGCTCTAGTTATAGAGAAAACATAAAATGCTAGAGGTCTGGTTTTATTTGGGTTTTAAAGGCACTGCAATTTACACTTATCCCCTCCTCCCAACCAGACTTAAATGGAGGCAGAAATCAGTACCCCAGATACAGTTTTAGCTTGAGGCACTTGAAAAACCTTTTCCCCAGTGGCATATAGAAGATATACTGTTCAACCTAAGCTTTGTAATGAACAAGGTAATATTTTACACCAACCCCTGGAGTGCATTAGTAACAGTAAACAAAACAAAATCATTCACTTCTTTTTTGGTAAAGAATGTGCACTGTGGTTAAATTCACAGGCATCCGACAGTTTCCTGCTTCAGGGTTGCTTGGAATCATACAAATAAGAAGAAACAATTGTCATTGTGAAAAATTCAATCTTCAATATACAGTGACTGGATTTTCTAGATAACTAAAGATAAGTACTTCTTTCAATTAATCAACATTATAACAATAAATCAATATAAATAGAAATTAAGTACTTTACAACTGATTATGTCCTAATTGCTAGATTATAGAATTTAGCAATTCTGAACATTTAACTTGAACATCCTGTGTCCCAAGGGTTGCGCAATTTTATTAAGATGTTTCTGTTAGATTTTCACGCAGCATATTATTTTTTATAGCACCTATACTTTTTGAAGACATTTTTCAGGATGTTCTATATTTTCAAATGCAAATTTACTAATAGAAATATTGTCAGTTTTGGTGGAAAAACTATAAAGTTATCACATACCAAGAAGGCTTTACTCTCCTTGTGACATGTACTTTACCTTGTATCACATTCAACACTTCATTAGATGATCGCTTTCCCATAATAATCAGGAAAAGCGGAAACTGATCTGTTTTTTGAGTTCGAATGGTTTGTGCCACAACACTGCCAAAGTGTCTATTGCACATAGTCAGAAATCTAAAAGGAGACAAAATACAAAGTAAGTTTTGCTTTGTAGTTTAATAGATTTACTAGTACTTCAACAAAGAACTCATTGTGTTGTTAGTTATGTTAAATTAGACAGCCTACCTGATATCAGTATGTAAAATCTTGCTATATTGAGTTTTCAAACATATCTGACATGATACAGAAGTGATTATCACATAGAAAAGCAGGAAGCATACCCTAAATGCTATCTGGGGCTGACAGCATAGGATTCTTCGTCTTTTTTTTTTTTTTTTTTTTTTTTTGAGACAGAGTCTCTCTCTGTGGAGTGCAGTGTTGTGATCTCAGCTCACTGAAACCCCTGCCTCCTAGGTTCAAGCATTTTCTGCCTCAGCCTCCCGAGTAGCTGTGATTACAAGCTCCCACCACCACACCTGGCTAATTTTTTTTTTTTGTATTTTTAGTAGAGACGGGGTTTCACCATCTTGGCCAGGATGGTCTTGAACTCCTGACCTCATGATCCACCTGCCTTGGTCTCCCAAAGTACTAGGATTACAGGTGTGAGCCACCGCGCCCGGCAGGATTCTTAGTCTTAAACACTACAACACTACCCTTAAACTATGAGAAAAACAAACTAAATTAATTTCAAGAGGATAAAATTTGTTAAATAGAATAATACAGTGTTGTACAAAGACAGACAGACTAGCATCATCCTAAAAAACAGATTTTAGCAACATTTTCATAAGTCTTTAGAATCAAGAACTGTACTTTACAATTATGTTTTCTCCAGTAGTAGCAGGTCATCTAGTTTCATACTCAGCATGAGATAAAAATAATAATTCTAAGCTTTTGACCAAAAAAAGCTCTAAGATATTAGCATACTGAAGTCTAGCATTAGTATTCTTAACACGATCTGGAATAAATGAAAAAACTGATAAAGCTTTTCTCTTCTATTAGAGGACTGTTTGAAATTAGCATTTCTTTCAAGAGAAAAGGGTAGCTTATGATATGTTTTCAGATCTGATGGTAAAAAGTAAATGTCATAATAATAATGAATTATGAAAGACCAAATGCAAATATAGAATGCTTTAATAAGATCCAATTTAATAAAGTCTGTAAAAATAATGGACTTTTAATAACACAGGTCACAAAAGGCAAAACAGTGGAAATTCTGGGGACTAGCCACTGGTACTGGCTTATTAATTCTTAATTATGTTCATGAAAGGCAACTTAAATCGTGTGTTTTCTCATGCCTTATGATAATATTTTAGGTAACAACTCCTCTGAAATGTATGTTCTAGCTGATGAGCAAAGTCCTGTCATCACATGCATTAGAAGGTAAATCTATTTGAAAAGACAAACGGCATCAAAATGTCATGCGTTCAGACTCATTTGATATCCAAATTCAAAACAGAATCAAACCTCTTAATTTTTAAAGCCAATACATTTTCTCTCTACAGAAATTCATCTCAGAAATTTAGACTGAATCTTCCATAAAAATCTGTGCTTTGACTATAGAAAGTAGGTGCTGTTAAGGGCAACTAGAACTGTGGGCAAGAGTGTTAAGTTAGCACCATTGCAATAAGTTCATTGGAAGGCAGGTTTAAATACACACTTAGAAGAGCAATAACCAGACCTCATGGCAATTTCAGTGCCACCATGAAAATTCAAATTCTCACATTCCACAACTATGATGGGATAAAAGGTGCTCAAGCAGCCTAACCTTCTATGCCAAATTTCACACCCATATAGCTTAACTCATCGATGGGGATGTACAGATCATGAGACTAGAAAATTAGGATATTGTTTGCTTTTTTTCTAAAATATTTTAAGTCAGTTTTGACTCTGACCTGATCATTGGCAACCTCTAAAATAAAAGATGTCAAAAAAAAAAAAAATAGTTGGAACATCATTTCCCACAAAAGGGAGTAAGTCCTTGTTGCTTTCACATTGATTGGATTAATTAAGCAGATATAACAAATTACCTGTCCATAAGTGCTATTAAGTACTAGCTAAACAGGATACCTACCAAAAAGAAAAAAAAAAAAAAAAGAAAGAAAGAAAGGAATGGGGGACAGAGAGAGAGAGAAATAAAAGGGAAAAGCAGGCAAGTTTAGTGATTTTAAGAATTCCATCTCAAGATAATTTTGCCTAGAAATTGCGTACTTCCCATATTCTTTTTGTGAAAATGAGCAAGAAGATAAAATAATTATGAAAATACAGTTATCTTATTGGGTATAAAATATTATATAACAAAACTTTCACCACTATACAAAGCACATTTGAGGTGCAGATCTCAACGCACACAGTCATTAAATAAATTATAAAAAAACAACAACAAAGTGATCAATTTTCTACAAGTTATTGGAAAATCACTCTAATTTTTTGGAAGTAGTTGGGAGATACACAGGGATCACACAGCCAGCTGACACTTTATGGTAGCCTTAACCAACAATTTATTCTAATCAAAGAGAGACTTAAAGTTTTAATTAATCTGATCAATCTTCCCAAAATATGACTTATGTTTGAGATTTTCAAATTGCAATCATCAAGAGCCTGTGGGGCCAATGGACAGTATGAAATTGTAAAAATTCCTACTTGTCAGTTCATTCCGTTATAATTAACAAGAAGGTGGTACTTCACAGCACAGATGTCAAATCTTTTTCATGGCTAGGAGACTCTGCTTCTTCCTGCCAAGATCATTCATGCACAGGGCTACCATTCATAACACACTACCAGCAGCAAAAAATTCAGTTCACAACATTAGAAGGAAAATGGACGGGGGAAAAACCAGTCATTTTAAGAGAAAATGTGTGGTTCTCATAATTGTGGTATTTTCTTCCTTTTGAAGAGATAAAAGTGTACCAGTGCATCCAGTGGCAGGGCCAAAGCTGTCAACCAACTGCACATGGCATTCATTCATCAGAGTTAGAAGTCATGAAGGGATAAATGGTTTCCACAAGTAAATTCCTGCAATCTCAAACCCAAAGTGGGGAAGCAAGGGCAAACCATTCTATAACAAAGAGAAATGGCTCTGTTTTTAAATAATAAAATTTCTGAATAAATCAAGCAGCCTACCCATCATATAACATTTGAGGACAGGACTAACAAGTTGCCAAATCAACCCAAGGCCAAATGCTAAAATTACAAATTTGAAAAGACAACGAATAAAGGAATGATACAAGGGAAGAAGGGAGAGAAGGAAGAAGGAACGGTTGAAGCAATGAGTGAAACGAAATAGTTAATCATAAGTCAGATATACTTATATATTTTCCAGTTCTTGCTATTAGAAAACTGGTAAGACGAAATGGTTTTAATTTAAAGTTTGGAGAGAAATGTAAACAGAATATCTGATGGTTAGCATATATTAATCACTTGTAAAATTTTTCATTGCTGAAGCATAGATATTTCTATCTTGTTAATGGAAACCAGGATTACTAATAAATCAGATATGGCAAAAAGTAATCTTGTTTAAATTCAAAACAGGATATTGTTTAATTTCTTTCAACTTAAGTCATAATTACCTAAGTCACTGACTTTTACCAAGCTGTACTGTAACATAAAATAAATGTTAAATGGAACCTAGCAATTCAGGGGAAGGGAGGTGAAATTCCACAAATGCTCACTGTCTACCTACCATATACCAGGTGCTGTAAAAGGAAGAATATTTGATAAAAATTAGAAGGCACAAAACTGTCAACTACTCTATTTAAGGGTTCCTGATTACTACATTTCAGTGTGATTCCCATGAGTTTAAAGGAGCCTCAGGTATAAAGTGGGAATAACACTTACCTTTAAAACACTTGTCTTCTTGTAAGGACAAAATAAGATACAGAAAACACTTGGACTTGTGCCTAAAATATGGTAGGCCCTTAAAATTGGTCGCTATTTTACTATTATTAAATGCATAATAATATTTAACACTTTTATCATCATTTCTTTTAGGATTAAAAATGACGGTTTATACCTACAGGCCAGCACTAAGAGACTTTATTTTGCACAGGAAGATATGGTAGCAAAGATTTGTTGACTAAACAAACACTGTCACTGTTTTTTTTCATTCAGAAAATGAATGGGCAGGTATCAATATTTAGAAAATAAGACATTATAGATGCTACATTTGTGCAATACCACAAAATTTTAAACATTTACAACTGGATACAAAACTAAAATCACTATTTCCTTTTAAATACATTTATATTTAATCATAACATGGCGAAAGGTCAAGGGGGAAGTGGACCCATGTGGAAAGGACATCCTCCTTTTATAACAACTTGCTCTCCTGGGAAGAAACCCATTCCTGGGATTACTAAACTAGCTTAATGAGAACAAGAGGGAGAACCCACTACCATGAGAACAGCCAAGGACATGGTGGGTCCATGACCCAGACATCTCCCATTAGGCTCCACCTCTTAAAGGTTGCACCTCCCAACATTTCCACACTAGGAATTAAGGTTCCCATATGAGTTTTGGTGGGGACACTCAAACCATTGCATAATCCTAAATCTTTGGTTTAAACTAAACTAAGTTAGGAAAACAGAGTGTATGACTAAGCTAGGGGAAACTAAAGGTGACGATCGTGATCCTCAACCTTTAGTGGCCTATAAATCACCTAGGGAATTTACTTAAAAGGCAAGTTCCTCAGCCCCATTCCCCCAGAGAAGGTGATTCAACAGATTTGGGGTAAGGTTCAGGAAACAAAATAGGTCTCCAACCCCACCCCAGGTAATTCTGATACAAGTGATTAATGGCCACACTTTGAGACACATTGCTTTCTGGACACAGGACTTTCTTTGTAAGACTTTAATCTGTCTCTGAAGGCAGTTCTTAAAAGAAGTCATCATAAAAATGTTTTGGGTAATGATAGCTTCACTGGACCAAGGGTCTAGTCTCCTGAGGCAACCACTTTAAAAATATTCATTCCCACTCGCTTCATTTGTATGGGTAAACTCCAATCTGATCTGAAAAAATACTAATAAATACCTCAACAGTCTGTGAGCTCCATGTGATGGAGGGAAAACAAAGCAGGGAAG